GTATGATACCACTTATATGTGGAATCAAATAAATGGATGAATGAATGAATGAATGAATGAATAAACTGAACTCATAGACACAGAGAACAGATTGGTGGTGGTTGCCTAAGGTGCCAGGTAAGAAGTAGGCAAAAGAGGTGAAAGCAGACAAAAGGTACAAACTCTCAGTTATAAGATAAATAGTCCTGGAGTTATTTTGTAGAGCATAAAGCAAAGTGGATTCTATGGTATGGTAAATCACAACGCAATAATTTTTTTTTTTTTTTTTTTTTTAAGTAAGCTCTATGCCCAGCATGAGGGTTGAGCTCAAGACCCCAAGATCAAGAGTCACATGTTCTACTGACTGAGCCAGCCAGGCACTGCTAGGATAACTTTTTAATAAAGTAATAACATTGCAGGAGTCACAAAATTTGGAATCCATTTCTGGTTATATCGTCCAGTTACATGGGCTGAGCAGACTCACTTAAAATTCCTTAGAGGGAACAAGTTGGTGATATACCTAAGACTAAAAAAATTAAAATAAATTAAAAAATAAAATACATAGAAACAATACATTTTACATATTAAGAGAACATTAAAACTTTTTAAGAAAAGCAAATGGCCAAGGAGTTTATAAAAACAAATTTCAAACAAGGAAAGAAAAATTTTTTGATTGTCAAATAAGCAAAGATGTCAGCGAGACACTTGTTTATTTCTGGAAGAAATATAAATATAAATGGAAGGCAATTTGGTACTTTGATAGGTAGGTCATAAAGAAGGCAGAGGATCATAGGGGAAGAGAGAAAAAATGAAACAAGACAAAACGAGAGAAGGAGACAAACCATAAGAGACTCTTACTCTTAAGAAACAAACTGAAGGTTGCTAGAGTGGAGGGGAGTGGGGGGATGGGGTAACTGGGTGATGGACTTTGGGGAGGGTATGTGTTGTAATGAGCACTGGGGATAAGACTGATGAATCACAGACCTATACCCCTGAAACAAATAATACATTATATGTTAGTAAGAAAAAAATAAAATAAAAATAAAAACAAAAACAACAACCACCACAAAAAAACTTTGTCTTGTATCTCTGCCAAACCAATATATCTTATGGAACTATCCAATATCCTCTCAGAGATTTAGGAACAAGGATATTCCAAACAGGAATAATTTCAAGAAATGTAGACAGGTCTTTTCCAATATTTATGTCTTGCATGTTCCTTCCTTTCTTCCTTCCTTTTTCTTTGTGCATGCCAAGTATGCATGTGTGTGTGTGTGTGTGTTATTTTGGGGGTATGGTCTTTAGAATAATGTTGAATATAAGTGCAATACCAGCTGAGTAAAAATAATTTTGACCCTTTTCTCTAGCAACATCTCAAAAACCGTCGAAGATTAGAAAAAACTTATTTTGATAAAACTTTCTCTCAGAAATCCTGAGCAAACATGATATTTAATGGCAGAATACCAGAAACCCACAAGCTGTGCCTACAGCCTTTCCTTGTAATTTTTAAAGCCTATACTGGGAGTCATGATCCTTTCAATTGTTCAAAACTTGTTTATTTATGCTTCGTTTTTCATTATTCAGAGTTACTAAAGAACATTTGTTCTGAGTGTTATGCTAGTCTCTTAAATTAATTTGAGAGGCAATATCATTTTTAGATGTTCTTGGAAGGTTTTAAGAGGGGAAGTACTAGTTTTTTGATGGATTCTTATTTGTCAAAGAAAAAAAGGGGGAGGAGGAAACTTGCACACGATCGGCCCCTGAGCCTAGTGAACTTTGTCCCCCAGGCTCATCTTCACCTCTGTAATCATGAGGCTCACTTCCTCACTTCATTCTTTTCTCTGCTCAGGTGTCATCTCATCAGGATTTCCTTCCCAGATGGCCCTGGGTAAAAGAATGTTACTCGCACCCTGGCAGGCCACAACACTTAAGAGCACCACCTGAGAACAGAGTATTTATCACACTAAGTTTGTTTATTTTGTTTCTAAGTTTGTTTATTTTCTGTCTCCTTATACTAGAATAAAAACTCAGGGATGTGACAACTTTGCTCTTTAGTTCACTGATAAACTGTTCTTAAGAATAGTGTCTTGAACAGAGTAAGCGCTTAATAAATATTTGTTGAAAGAATGAACTCTTGGCAAGTAAGAAGCATCTAGAGGGAGTATAGTGGGAATAAGAATTAACAGCTTCATCTCTCTGTAGCACCATCCTAAGTGATCTAGAACAGATAAGTGGAGTCCCCTCAGAATTACTGATTTAATAATTCTGGTTTGGGACCCAAGAACTTGCACATTCTGGAAAATTCCCTGGTGATCCTCTTTGGGCTGGTCAGGAATCCACAGACTTTGACAGTAATGAATTTAGAACTCTTGGGGTTAATGATTGGGGTAAATAAAGTCAATTTTTATATCATTCAAAACTGTATTTTTTGAACAAATAAATTGTTCAGATTCCTTATTGAATCAATTCATTTTCCTTCTCTTTACATTTCTTTAGGAATCAGGAATGTATCCTAGATTGTAATTTTTATGTTACTTCCTATTGAATATCTAATTAAATGCTATAACCATAGTCAGGATAGTAGAATCAACTCTTCAGTCTAATGAAGCGATTATATATATAATGCTATCTTTACCTGGGTTCTGATTAAATTATCTCAAAGCTTAGTAGAAGAGTCCTATATTGAGCCAATATTAAAAATCTCTATTGAAGTTAAAAATCTGTATTAAAGGGGGCAAGGAAACTAACATTCTGGCCCTGTCTTAGGCTCACTTAACATGATCTCATTTTCATGCTGAGAAAGTCCCTATACATTTTGGAGCAGTGTTTGTCTTTTCCACTTGGAGGAATATCGATGGGCTCTGAGAGGTTACTTGCTTCTCAAACTCACCCAGCTAGATAGAGTTAAAGCAGGTCGTCATAGCAATCTCAGACCACAATGCCTCCCAGGACAAACACAGTGAGTTTTGTTCATTGTGTTTCAAATTCACTGTGCTGGAAGAGATGGGTAGAAAGCAAGTTCCAAGGCACAGAGAGGAATGTGAAAAGGTAACTAGTAAATATTTTGTTGCAACGAAACTGACTCAGCATGAGGATGAAGTCATGTTAGTCAGTGAGTCTTAGGTTCAGTAACAGAAAAAGTGATCAAGTAGGGTTTTAACTTTCGGAGCACCCCTTCATTTCAACAGTCTTGAAATTCAGGGCTGAGCTCTACCTCAAATCTCTGATGGTATTATATAGAAGAAAGGCACCTTAAGAAAAGGTAAGACAGACAATGCAACCAAAACTCCCTAATGCATCCCTTCTCAGGTGCAGGAAGTAGTCAATGCTCACATATGTATCTAGATGTGGCCATTATTTAGCCTCATTTCCCAAGACAGCCCATGCGGCAGCCACACTAGACCATGGCCACTTTCTCCCCCGCCAGTGCTGCTGCCATGTTTTTCCTTCTCTCTGTAATACCATCATCTGTCCTCACGGGATAGGTTTTGTTAGTATTTTTGTTTGCTTACTTTGCTATATCTGCTTTTCCTATCACTCATGAAAAGGAATAAAATAATTCTTTTTAAATCTTGAGGAAATTACAACTTCCAATAAATGTCATAAAGTTCTAGAACCGTAATTCTTGATTTACAGTTCTTGCTGCCTGTTCAGAAGGGCACCTAAAGTTCTGTGGTCCTCCAGGCTTCTGCCGTCATCTCCAGCCTAGGAACCCATCAAATCTCCCAGGCAGCCCCATGGGCTGGAGAGCACCTTGGGGCTGGGTCACCAGGGGAGACTTGTCTCAGGTGGGTCATGGGGATTTGAGGGGACTTCCACCCTGTGTGCCAACCGTCACCAGGCAACCTTCTCCACCTCACTGAAAGAATATCCCTAGTCTTACCTTCCTCATTTCTCACACACAAAATTCTTTGTATCCCTTAAGATTTAAATCAAAGTGCCCTTTCATTCTAGATTCTAGAAAGACCTAGATTTTTATTCTGTGATATCAGTTCCCTTCACTTACCCCATTTTATTCCTTGAGCTGTAGTTTATATCAGTGTCTACCTCAATTGATATTAAGCAACCTTAAGTTGGATAAAGGGTTTTCTCTTATTTTATCGTTCTGTAATTTCACAGGGTGCTTCCTGGGTTATATAATAACATATATGCCAAATAAGATAGTTATGTGACCCAATCTCATTCTAAAATCATATTAGCTGATGCTTTTGGATTATGAGTATCCAAAATTCTATCTGCCTCATTTAATCTAAAGAAAACTGAAAATCAAACTGTATTATCAAGTATCCAAAAATCATTTTGGTGGATCAATTCTATTCAACCTGCTAGTCTTTTTCACTGATGTAAAATGGAGCAAAGTCAAATATTTTAAAAAGTCATATTTTTACATTTGTGCTACCTATTTTTTTTTAAATAAGATATCCCCCAAACTAAGAACAGAATCAGCTTACCATATTATTTAAAAGAAAAAAAATGCAGTATTGCATTTCTTAGTCATTGATAATGAGAAACATTAATTTTGGTAAGTCTTACACATGCCATGTTTACAGCACACAAAGATGGTTATTCACATAGTATCTTCTTAATATACTCAAATCCCAAAATAATATTTCCTCTAAGACAAATATCATGTTATCATAAACTAGGTGCCACAAAATAAAAGATATTCTAATACTGTATTGAAAAGAAATTGTTTTGTGCTCTAAGTGCTTAGAGAACAAGTAAATGCGTCTGCCTATAATTTTCAATCAGTCACTCCATTGTTCAGAGAAGTAGATGACAGTATAAAAACCCTGTTAAGTATTTTATTAAGAAGAAAAGGAACATAAAGAATCTGAGGCTTAGGTAGGCTGACAGGTTGATTTAGTAGCAACAGGAACTTGCTGTTTTTCAGACATAATTACAATAGCTCTATTATATAACAGAACAATGATTTCAAAGATTTATGATAAACACATGCAGTAGCAAAAATAAATTAATAAATTAATTAAGAAAAATAAAATCCTTTTCAGTGTTCTTACCTACAGGTAGATCCTGCATTTTGGGGATATGAAAATGCTCCTTGAAGTTCCTCAGCTCATCTTCCTCATCAAGGCGGAGGGCGACCCTCTCATCTGTCGGGTGACATCGAAGTTCTGATGCAATGCGTTGTACTGTGTCAGCTGGTAACTCAAGAGGGGAAGCCTCCATTACAAGTTGCTTCTCTAAAAATGAAAGTGAATAATTAAAAATCATTTAGCCACCATCATTTTTTTTCTGTAGAAAATTAGTCAATCCTTTTGGCTTAAGTAAGATTCTCATCTTCCCAACCTCAGAAATAATATAATTGACCAAACAGCATTAAACCTCATGTTGAGTTTTTCTCATGTGTGAAATAAAGAAAATGATAATAACTTAGGGATGTTGAAAGGAATAAATTTAGGTAATGGTGGTGAGGAGTAAGGTCTTAATAAATGTTAGCTCTTTCCATTTTTATTTTCTGGAAAATGAACCAAATTAGTGACTTTCAAACATATGTAAGTTCATCACCTTTTCCTCTAGATGTCTTACTGGGGGTAACAGTAAAGATGCTTTTGTGAAAACTGTTGAGAAACAGTGCCCCACGTAGCTTGTCCTTCTCCCAATACCACTTCCACTATTTTACTCCCAATGGTTCTTGGATCATAGTTTTAAAATTAGGGACATATATGAACCATAACAAATTCTTTATTGTGAACAATATTGATGAAAAAGGTAACTTTACCTTAAATAATGTTAATAATTTTTGCCATGTGAAGACCAAAGAGCTCTTCCTGCTACAGATAAAGAGAAACTTCTCTTTCAAAACTATATATTCCATCTTAGAACAAAGCAGAACCCCGTGATATTTTCTGAAACTACATTTTGCTCTGTTTAATCAACATTTAAAATTTCTCACAATTTTGGAAAGAAAGCTTAATTTTCTGCAGGGGGGAGAGAAACAACAGAAATTTAACTACATATTCTTAAACTTTACCCAAACTTTCTTTATATTGATTTATTTATATTTCCCCAAGTTTTAGCTTTTTTGAAATTGAGCAAGAATAGTAATAGAGAAAAAAAATTCTCAGGTAGCTTGATTTACAGACTTCTACTTTTGTGCCTCCACTTATGCATTCCTCCATTCATTTATCTTTCAAGGAGCACTTGTGGAGCACCAACCATGTAGCTCAAAGCACTGATGAAAGAGCACTGTAAAAGATGGTGCATAAGTAAAAGATGGTACATAAGTAATACATTTTTAGAGTTTACTTTTTAGTGGAGAATGAAAAATATAATTAAATAATGTAATTTCAGAGAGTTTCAAGAGCTATGAATAAAAAAAGCAGAGTAATGGGATAAAGAGTCGCTAGGGTATGGAATAACTTCCTCAGGGGAAAGGTCAAGTGTATCTCTTTGAGGCAGGGATCTATGTGCATTGATATGGAATCAAACACATGAAGACCAAGAACTAAAAAAGATGACAGAAAGTACAAAGATCCTGTGGTGGGGACAGGCTTGGCCTGTTCAGCTAATACACTAAGTAAGTAAGGGAGAAGGAGACACTATGAAGGAAAGAAGGCAGGGGCAGAAGTTAATTATTAAGAACTCTGAAGCCAGAAAGGAATCTGGGTATTTTTCTAAATTTAATGGGAAATTGCTGGAGAGTCCTGAGTAGGAAAGTGATATGATATAATTTTGCATGAAATAAAAATCACTTTTTCTGCTCTCTGATGAGTTAGAAGGAGTTGAAAAAGAGAGGCAGATTCAGGCTATTTTAGTAGTTCAGGGGAAAATGGTGGTGGATTAAATGTGATGAGGAGAAAAGCACAGAAGTGTGTGGATTCATTCCATATTTTGGAGGAAAGGCAGATAGATTTTCTCTGGTGAGGGATCTGAGCAAATATGTTAAAAGTGGTGAAATGAGAAATACCTAGGGAAGAAAAACTTTGAAGAGGGAAATCAAAGTTCTATTTAGGACACATGAAGTTTCAGGTAGAAATAACTAACTGGCTATTGGATGTTTGGGTCTGTAGCTCAGAAGAAAATTAGATCACAAGATATAAGCCTGATATTTTTCAACTCATATACTTAAAGCCTAGAAATCCTAAGAACCAACTAAAACTAACAGAGATGAGGCTCTCAAATCTCAATCATCTGTCTTCTACTCACCACCCTCCCCTCTTTTCTACCACCCCAACCAACACACCCAGTGTTAGGCGATGAAGAGTTGCATGTCTCAATGTTATACAGTGCCAGTAAAACAAGCACACTTCCTAGTTTCTAAACTGGAATTCTTCTTATTTATTGGACCTCTTCCTTTCTCAATGGCCAGTGGTCTCCCCTGGTAAGTTATTCTGTATATTCTCAAATAAGGGTACTGAGCTTGATTTGAACATGTTTTTAGCTTTGATGCCAATAACAGCTGCCAATTGCTCTAATCCATGCTTTTGTACAAAAGTCAACGATTTCAACACTGGTGTTGATAGTTCCTTCAATATCTGACCATACTAAATTATTTGCCTTTTCATGAAATTTTCTATCTCTATGATTTATCTCATGTCATTCCCTTTGCCTAAAATGTTCTACTTCCCTTTCTACATATTCACATCCGAGTCACCTTCAAGCCCTAGTTCAAAGGCTACTTTTTTTTCTCCCATGAGGCCTGTCATTTTGTCTCAACTAAAAGTAGTTTTTCCTCCTCTGGATACCTGTAACACTTAAGAGCACACCTTTCTTTATTCGTAAGTAAGGCATCCTCCAGATACTCTATTTATTTAGATGCCTCTGTGGTTGGGAAAGCTGAAATATGTTGCCACACCTACAACTTGAATCTGCATGGGTTCCCACCTATTGCCTTGTGATGAAATAACCTGCTTTTAGAATAGAGATGACAGTGTCTCTACCACTGGACATTATCCTGGTCACAATTGACTAGACCTCTGTTAGACACTTGACTCACTGGATACAATGCACTGTTTTGTTAGATAGTGACTTGCTGTGACTACTTTAGCCAAACAGTCATGATGGTGTTTAGCTGAACATCTCATCAAATTCTTTCAGGAATCTGAGCTATGAGATGCAGTTATTCATTCAGTTGGAAACAGGAGCAAAATTTTTTAAAAATCATAGAAAGCAATGGTAAGATGGTTGGGTCTAGAAGGAGTATTGCCATGAGTGACTCATTTTTTTCAAAGTCAAACAGAACAACTGCTTGTTAAAATATGAAGCGATTTCAGAAGGAAATAAGAATCAACTTAGTTATGCAATGGTAGGGGATGGAACAGCTATGTCTCCTGAAAAGTGACAGGACAAACCAGTCTGGAGAGTCATTGAATCCTTCCATGCAACAAACTATGTGTATGTCCTGGAAGGTCACCTAGAGAATTGGCTGTCCTGAGAATCTCATGAGCTGTTTTCTTCCTATCAAGTGTGTTTTTACTATGAACACATTACTTACGGTGGCTTGATTGAGTTGCAGGGCTACCCACCCTACTCAACTATATATATTCTACCTGGAGGCCTGAATCTTGTTTATCTTTGTAGCAATTCCATTCCCAAGCAGTGGCTTTTACATAGAGCATTCCCCTAAAACAGCAATTTAATAAGAATGCACAAAATAGCTTGAATTATTTCACATGATTAATGACTATTCATAGAGCGATGCCCTTCTTACTCCAACCACGTGGAAATTAATTAGAAAAACATTTTCAAAAATCTTGCCTTTTATCTAGGAATTTCTTTGGAACACCAGAACTTTGAGGGTTCTTTGGGCTTGACTGTAAACTCTGAATAGGTTACCTAAATATACAGATTAGTTTGCTACCATCATATTCCCAGTAAAATCCAACTTTATTTAAAAAAAGATATTCAGGCATGCCTGGGTGGCTCAGTTGGTTAAACAACTGTCTTCAGCTCAGGTATTCATCTTGGAGTCCCAGGATTGAGTCCCATGGCAGGCTCCCTGCTCAGCAGGGAGTCTGTTTCTTCCTCTGACCCTCCCCACTCTCATGCTCTCTCTCATGCTCTCTCTCAAATAAATAAATAAAATCTTAAAAAAATAAAATAAAACATATTCATATTAATTCATTAGCCTTTTTATGTTTGTTTCTTATTTAATCCTTTTAACAATCTTGAGGGATCAGAATAATTTTCTTTCTACTTCCAGATCAAACTCTGGGATAATAAGAGTCCACTGTTTGGGATTGTACTTCACTTGAGGAACAGAGTCAGCCATGCTTGTCTTTGGCATGGCATGTGGACAGAATGCACAGAGCAGCAGAATTCCTGGCCCTCTTATTTATTTTTCCTTGTATCTTACTTTATGATTTTTAAAAAATGCTTCCTTGGGGCGCCTGGGTGGCTCAGTCGTTAAGCGTCTGCCTTCAGCTCAGGTCATGATCCCAGCGTCCTGGGATGGAGCCCCACATTGGGCACCCTGCTCCGCGGGAAGCCTGCTTCTCCCTCTTCTACTCCCCCTGCTTGTGTTCCCTCTGTCGCTGTGTCTCTCTCTGTCAAATAAATAAATAAAATCTTAAAAAAAAAAATGTTTCTTTGGCTCATTCTCTTTTTTCCCCATTCTTTTTTTCAGCCTTGTACTCCATCTGCAAAATACAGGAGGCAATGAATCTACTACTCTTTTTAATCAATCCTTCCAATCCAGTCCCAGCCAGGGAGAGGTTAAAGAGGCTACTCCCACTTCTGGGCCTGTCACAGCCCAGATGTCACAACCTCACCTGCACCGAGAGTGAAACACCTGCTGGTGAAATAGGCTTTCAGGGAGAACACACCTGGTCTCACCTGCCAAAATGTACTGCTAACACCAGGATCCGCAGTGGCCAATACCAGAGTGCCCTCACTCCAAGGAAACAATTTATTAACTCAGAATAATAGCTGTTTCATTCTGCACTCGCCCTGTCAGCAAGGCAATCAGTGCTTCACAAGCCACAATTTTATGCCTCCTGTAGGTTTACCATTTGCAAATAGATTGACATGCTCTTACTTTGAGATAAAAAAAGAAATCAACTCAAGTTAAAAAAATCCAAATTTTACATTTCACACATTTAATTTTGATTGTCTTAAGAAGGCATGTATACATACACACTTGTTCTTAGGAAAGCCACCTAACTTTTCTGTGCTGCAATGTTCTATAAAACTAATAATTTAAGTTTTACTTTCTTCAGAGGTTCATGGTTAGGATCAAATG